TTGAAACATTAGTGCAGTGGTTTATGTTATAATAAACCTTTGGGTAAAGTTGTCACAAGCAGGTTTTTCTTGTGTTCCTTCTAAATTTGGTCTTAAATTTTTATTTCAAGTGGCATTAAAAAGTCTTAAAAAGTCTTGAATTTAACTTGCCTTATGCTGTAGGAACCCTGCAAGCGATTATTTTTTCCAGTTTAATTTCTCATGTCTTTTTAAAAATGTACAAATACATGTGTTACATAATAATCAGATTTATTTAAAGCACATATTACAAAAATAAAGGACACAAATCTGTGGCTTTACCTTATTAATATCTTTTAAGTTTCATGATACATACACATATGGACTCCATTCCTTAAACGCTGCCAGATTTTAAGACAGTCTATAAATAAATAAATAAATTTGTCGTGTTACCTCGTGAGGTAGCAACAATAGCAAGGCATGTCCTGCACAACACCTGACGTTGTGTTGAATTATTTTGGGTTTAAAACAGAAGACGCTGCACAAGTGATGTACTGCTTCTCTTTGGTACCAGACCTTCAGTTGTGTTGGTTTTTGTCGAGTTCTAAGCCATTATTCAGCAGGTTACTTGCATACGAGTATCGTCTTTCCCTCCGTGCGGGAGGGTTTCAGTTTTTCCATGACCTTGAAAGCCTGCTTGTCCAGAATCCAGTGTTGCAGGTCTTTACTGTTAAACTTCAACAAACAAGTTCTTACTTCTACTACAATGCAATAATCTAGGTGCTACCTACAATTCTGCCTTCTCTTCTGTGTGGCGGCATACCCAGTTTAATCGTATTACTGCCACCTAAAGAGCTGGAAAGAGAAATGTTGTGCCTTAAGGCTAATTTATACTCATCTGTGTGTGTTGCAGTGAATGCAAATGTGTCTCCTCCCTGCCGCAGACATTCTGCTGTACCTCACCACAATTGTAGGTGTTCGCAAACACTGCTGCAGACAGGTGGCCTCTGATTGGTCAAATCTACATCCGCTCTACACTATGCGTATTTCTTGTTTGGTACCTTACCGGCTTATTTTGTTTTTTATGACCGCCATTGTGAAAAAACAAATTAAAGTTGGACCAGCTAGTAGAGCGAGGTGCAGAGAGCGCTGGGACCCTTTTTCGACCTGGATCCCCGCTCTTTTTCGCCCTCATGTCCCTCCGCTGTCGCCCAAACTTTCCCCCACTTACTCACTGCCTCGGCCGTATCTAGACCCTCTTGCATTGTGGCGTAGAATTACATAGCGCGGACCACGCTTCAACATTGGGCATAAATAAAACTCTGCGACAAGCTCACTGCGACGCACCTTTATAATCAGCCCTTTACTCTTATCAAATGTGTTGTGATTAAGAGTTGAGTGCTTCTGCGATTTGAAAATTGCATTTTTCTAAATTGTAATTATATTGCATATGCAATTAAGCTCTATTGGAAAGATTTGATCAGAACCATGTTCTGGGGTTGATTTCAACCCTAGCTTTCTGGTTTGGCTCTGGTTCCTGCAAAGGGACTGACTGGATTGGAATAAACAAAAGAGTGGAGAAAAAAATATAAATGGTTTTCAGGTTTCTTCACCTCAAAGTTTGAGTTACCTTCTATGCCTTCAGGTCTGTGAAAATGGTGGCATTTTCGCTTGAAATGTAAAGGAGCAACACTTCCTCAGCAAAGTAGGCAAATGTGTAAATCTCTGACTTTAGCTCTTCATGAAGATGGATTCAAATTAATTCATAAAGTTGAGTAGCACTTTGGGTAAACCTGGTTTAGGTGGTTTAGTGTTTTATTTTGAAGATATTGCTGTTCGTAAACCCCATTATAACATTATTATTATTATGTACTTATTAAAATTTCTTTCCTTGTGTCGGTATTTTCCGATACATTGATAGTTGCATCTAGCAGCCATGCACATTTGCACTCTCCATCTGCTGTCCATTGTTCACGATTAGTTTGATTTTAATAAATGTTCCCTTTTTGTTTAATTTGAGACAGATTTTTTTCATTCAATTCAATTTATCTTTATTGTCATTGTCACAAGAACAACAAAATTTTAAAAAGTGCCATCGATCAGTGCATATGCTTAAAAACAAAAACAAAAATCGTTGTCACCACCATTTACACATGATATAAGAAATAAATAACAATAACTGATACAAAACAACTAATAAGAATACTACATTCACGCACATCATCCACGATGATTAATGGTTATTTTTGGTTGCATTTAGTTTTGTTGTTGGTGTTGGGTAAAAACTGTCTGTAAGGCGGTTGGTTCTTGTTCTGATTGCTCTGTATCGTCTGCCTGAAGGCAACAGTGTAAACAGAGAATGTCCGGGATGAGAAGTGTCCTTTGTGATGTGTTGTGCCTTTTTTAGACAGTATAATAGTAGAAAAATACATTTTGGCCTCCAAAATAAGCAACAAATTTCAAGGGTTGGTTAGACTGACATTAAATGAATCGGTGTCAGCTTTAAGACAATGTTAATCTAACTTTTTTATTAACATTTAGTGTTTTTAGATTTTTTTTTGGCAAGGAGAAATTAGAAACGCATTTAGACTGCTTTACATTCACTGTCTGCAGAAGTCTTTGGCTCAACATGTTTAAACCAGTTTAAATGGTTTAATTGTGGGTCGAATGAACAGTGTCTGTGTTTCTGTGCTCTTCTCCAGGCCCCCTGAGGTCCATGGTGGAGGAGATCCAGTCGGAAGAGTCGGACGATGACGACAGCAGCTCAGAGGAAGAGACGCCCGTAAAAACCAACCCCCCCAACCGCGACTCTCGGTCAGTTTCTGACCAACTCCTTCCCGCCATTATACTCAGACATTCAGATGTCTGAGTATGAATTATTGACCCACAAAACATATTTTACACATGCAGAGTTTATTTGCAGCATTTTTTTAAGCCAGGGGATTTCACATAGTTTTTTTCAGCTGCTTAAAAAAAAAAATCTACTTTTTATCAGATGTAGACGGTCGCTTAAAAGCTTCAGACATAACAGTTAGGCAGCGTTCCTTTAGTCTGTTTGAATGACCTCTGACCTTGACCTTTGCCTCTGACAGACTAAGCCTGGACAGCGAGAGTGACAGCAGCGACGGCTCGCACCGCCCCAGTCGAGACCCTGCCCCACCCCCACAGAAACACAGCTCATCCAACAACAAAGTGAGTCCCCCCACAGACCGTTTTATTTCGGGTTTGAATCTGCGCTTCTTTAACAGTCAGGCTGTTGGAGGTTTCCCAGCTGCTGTGACTCGGGTATCAAAGTACACCTTAACAAAATTAAATGTGAGGAGTTTTATCATTAAAGGCTTATAAAGGTGGGCTTTAAGCCTGTTAGTGTAACGATTGTATTAATTATGTTTAAGTTATAACTAAGGATGAATTTATCAATCCTGTTATCTTATATAAAAGATATACAGATTTAGCGTATAACCTATTTCTATCTAATAGGGTTGTTACAATAAAATAAATGTTAAACCATTACTGTTCAGTTTTCAGTAACATCTTAATTTTTGTTTTTCAGTTTTGAGCAAAACATGATTGAAAGTATTTAAGCTTATTAAGCAAGTCTAGCGCCCCCAGTGGCTCAAAGTGAACAGTATTGCTCTGAGTAAAGGACAGTTTAGTCCATATTAAGTGAAATATTAAAGTATCACATTCTGGTTAAAAGAGTTGAGCGGAAAATGTGTAGCATGTTAATATTTTTATAGAAGAATTGGATCTACCTTTGCTTTAGCTGAAAGATTCCATCTAATAATCATCTTTATGCTGTGCTTACATCATCCCGTCAATTTACCTTTAATACAAATCGATTTCACTACTGAGTTAAAGGATGATTTTGTATTTAAAGGATTTTTTTTCTAATCGAACATGGATCTGGCTCATGCAAAAAGCTGCCTTCTTATAATGTAAACCAGAATCTTTTCCATTCAAATGAATTCAGCAGTAATGAACAACTGTTGGTCTCACTGGTATTTTAAAGTGAATCTTCAATTCCTACCTATAACTGCTGTAATTGTCTAACCTGACTCCGCCAGATGTATTTGCTCCACATATCCA